TCTTTTATGTTCTTGCCATATGTATATATGCATGCGTTTCCAAAGTTATGGCACTGCTCAGGTGAACTATATAGCCAGAGGCTAAAGTGCTGCAGGGGAACAGCCAATTGACTGCAACCTGCATCTAGAAAAGGATGATTTTGGATGATCTTCTAGTGCAGGCAACAAGCTAAGCCTTTATGGGGATCTACATGCCTAACAAGCAAGAGAGGGAAAGAAGGGAGTTTCAAGGGATGACAGCCACTGCTATTGTTCCATTTTGTGTCATAGATGCGGTGCTAACAACCAGAAAACTGAGTTCTGGTAACTATAACACCCATGTGCGTTACTTCAGAGTCGGATGTTTTTTAAATACCCTTTTCGAATTGCTGCTATTTCTGGCAACAATAGGATCAGTGTAAGGCAAAAAGGCTATAATTATGTCTGTGTGGGACTGAAAGGGAGATTAAAAAGAAAGGAAGAGCCACATCCTTATCTAGGGATCTTATTTGTACATAATCTTCTCTCTCCTTTGGTCGCTCTCCTGGCATCTTGGCTTGCCAGGGGCAAGGAACTCACGCCAAGCTGGTTTTGTATGCCTAAGGCACTATACAAAATTCAAGAACTCGGGAAATAAGTCTCCTCTTCCAATTTACTTTCGGTCAATCCATTTTTTTTTGTAACTAACCGCTGTAAAGCTGACAGAGAAGGATTGCTCGGTGGGTTTTAGGGATGCAGCTCTGCTGAGATCTATGCTGGACTTGTCTACAAACAAAGCTTTTAGAATCTGGTTTAATCTGAAATTGACCCACACTGAGCTTCAACTGGATCACCCTTCTTGTTTCTTCCAACTATGTTTCTATGATTCCCTGAATTCAACACTCTTATTTTCCCACTTCTTGGAAGTTATTGGTGTGAGGGGGAATGTGGTTACTTTAGAAGACCCACATAAATCTGAAATCTTGGATACTGTAACAACATGGATTAATCACATTGGATTGGACGTGTCTGCACTTCTAATCAAAGGAAGTAGAACAAGGCATAAGATAAAAGGTGAATGTTTCCCCTGACATTAAGTCTAGCTGTGTCCAACACTGGGGTTGGTGCTCATCTCCATTTCTAAGCCAAAGAGCAGGCGCTATCTGTAGACACCTCCAAGGTCATGTGGTCGGCATGACTGCATGGAACGCCATTACCTTCCAGTGGTACCAATTGATCTACTCACATTTGCATGCTTTCAAACTGCTAGGTTGGCAGAAGCTGGGCCTAAAGGAGGAGCTCACTCCGCTTAGCCTGCTCCCGGATTTGAACCACCAAACTTTCAGTCAGCAAGTTCAGCAGCTCAGCAGTTTAACACACTGCACCACCAGGGGTGGGTAGTACAGTAATATATACCAAATTAATTAATCTTGTTATTGTTATATATACTCCAGGTCCCGATGTGATGATAAATTCCATTTGTATAGCCAGGCTCCAATTTAGAGAAACACATAAAATAGACTCCTTTTTTACACTGACACAATAATCTCCTACCCATAGGAGGCATGCAAATAATGTGCCTTAATTCTAGAATTTCTAAAAACAAAATTCCAATTTGTTCTAATAATAATAATAAACTTTATTTATACCCCACCACCATCTCCCCAAAGGGGACTAAGATGAGGCCAGGCCTAGAATTACAATACAACAAAACAAAACAAAACAAAATAAAATGCAAACAGCAAATAATAACATCAAAATAAAACACATATAATGACAGAAAATGAAATCAACAGATGCAAAATAATGTGATGAAGAGATAAAATAAAAGCATGGTGGGCGGGTTAAATGCACAGAATAAGATTGATAAAACCCTGGGTGAGATAAGTAAATGGAAAAGTATATGTCTGTGGGGGAGCTCAGAAGGGGCGAACAATGGGATTGAGCCTTCATTAAAGACAAGGAGAAGTTCTACAATACTTTAACAATAACAGCCAGCTTGAGGTCTTGCTTATTAATAAAGGATTATCCTGTTAGCATCTAGCTTTTCTATTGCAACGGACCAATACAGTCCAATAAAGCTTATCTTTTTATTGGACTTTTTCATTGCAAAATCCTGAATAAGCCTAACATATTTAACAGCCTTTTCAGGGAGGTTAGACCTTCTTTCCTAATTTTCCACAGGTTTCAGTAGGACACTGAGGACAGAATGTTTAGGAATAGATCTTTCACGATGTCCTGGACTGTATATTTTTAATTGTTTTTTATACCGTTTAAACTTTTATGCAGTGAAATTTTTGCCACTTGCTTTAATTGCTGTAAGCCATATTGAGTCCTGAACTGGGGAAAAGGTAGACTGAGGATGATAATGATGATGACAGTAGTAATAATATTAATATAAAACAATAAGCAACAATAATGTTTTTTTTTCATGTCAGGAGCAACTTGAGAAACTGCAAGTCGCTTTTGGTGTGTGAGAATTGGCCCAGATGTTTTGATGTTTTACCACCCTTGTGGGAGGCTTCTCTCATGTCCCTGCATGATAGAGGGAGCTCAACCCATTCTGCCAGTTTTGAACCACTGACCTGTCAGTCAGCAGTCCTGCTGGCACAAGGATTTAACTCATTGTGCCACTGGGGGCTCCTAATTATGGTAGCAATAATAATATATTAATATTAGAAATAGTACTGTTCCATTATCTGGGTGGAGGCCACTAGGGGTTGCTAAAGAGAGAAGGATAGTCCATTTTACAGGGAGGGAATTGAAGGATGAAAACCATTTCCCCCATTTTCACTTGTCT